TCCTATCCTTCTGAAATCTATCCATATCCACTAGGGGTCCATAGGTGGGTTTCCTTGGTGCATGGTATCTAGACTCCTTACCTCCCTTTTTCATTATTATCTGTTTCTGCATAAGTATTCTTTGCTTTTTTGCCAATTTCCAAGGTCTATATTTGTCATCTGTTAGTTCCACATAACAGATTGCTACACAATTTTGGTATTGATGGATTCCTCTCACTCCCTACTATCCAAATATATAGAAATTATTGTGCAGAAACCACCCAAACCCCCACATTCTTGGTCAGCATAACAGGATAAGGCATGAAAGGTACAAGGGAATTTGCAGGGTAAAATGTGAATAATATAAACAGAATCAGTCACTAGATTGTTTAATGCAACCCCTTCCCATGGGGGCAGCCAATCCCTGCCCAGGAAAACAAATAATCCACCATGCATTCAGAACAGGAGACAGCATCAGACACATTCGGCATTGGGCGTTCCTGCTTGTCAGTCATTCGCTCTCTCATGCCATGAATACATGGAGGATTCTTTGTATTCCATTGCAGGAGTTGGAAGGCACAGCCCCCTGCATAAGACAATATAATGACTGGTTCTGTGTATATTATTCATATTTTACCCTACAATTTCCCTGGTACCTCTCCCTCCCTCCCCACTACTGGGGCCAAGCTTTTCCCTAATGTGGGGTTTTCTGTTTGATATTACCTATATATTTGGATAGTAGAGAGTGAGAGGAATCCATTGATACCAAAATTAACGTGATCCATTATGCAGAACTATTGTGTTAAATTACTGCTATTAACTACTCAAATTTTGGTCAGTACACATTAGTACTCCAGAAACCATGTGTATGATATTGTGAAATAGTTTAGCACACAATTACAGTTTGTGTATGTAGCTGAATAATAACTGATTTAGAATTACTAAATATTTTTCTTTCTCAAGACTGACTCTTCAAAGCAAATGTAATTTACACAAAATATTATTTTCTTATTCATTAGTGAGTTCATTGCATTATAGAATATAAATTTCAGCAATATTCTCTTTTTCCTGTCCTTTTTGTTTCAATAGATTCTAAGGCTACTAGAGTGACATTATTCCAACATGCGGTCTTAAGAAATCTTCATACCACATATCAACATATTTCTTTCACTCTCAGCATGACCAGCCTTTATCCACTTTGCAATCTGATCTATCTATGTACAATAATTATAGGAGGAAAATCTAATTTAAAAGGTATTTTTTTCTAATAGGTCCACATAACAGATAGTGATGATTTTGGTATTGTTGGATTTTTCTCACTTTCTAGTTTCCAAATGTATAAAAATTAAAGCACAGAAACTCCCCAAACCTCCACATTATTGGCCCCGATAGCCGTGAGGGCATGAAAGGTACCAGGGAAATTAAGGGGTAAAAAATCAATAGTATACACAGAACCTGTCATTAAACAAAGAATCCTCCATGTATTCACAGTAGGAGAGAGCATATGACTGCCATGCTAGAGTGGCATTTTCTGTCTGACACTTTCTCCTGCAGTGAATACGTGGAGGTTTAGGGCAGCAGCTGCCCACTGGGAGGTGGCAGGGGGCTCGGCCCCCTGCATTAGACAATACAGTGTCTGATTCTATATAGATTATTCATATTTTACCTCACAATTTTTCTGGTACTTTTTATGCCCTCCCCTGCTATCAGGTACAAGTCTGTTGCTAATGAGGGTGGGAGGGTTTCCAAGCTATAAAATCTACATATTTCCATTGTAGACAGTGAGAGAAATCCAACGATACTGAAATCATTGCGATCTGTTTTGCAGGCACATTAGAAAAATATACCTCTATATATTATACAAATGTCATAATTTCCAGATGACATGATGCATGGCATTCAAAAATACCAGCTTCTCACTACAAAATTACTCCTAATCATTATCGAAATCCATCTTGATGGGGAAAAATTGATTCTTTCATAATATCTAGTTATGAAATCCGTCCCAGAGCAGAAGGTGAAACTGACAACAACATTACACATAACCACCCTACACATAGTAAAATACAACGTATGATACCGATCAAGAAAAGTAATCCAGAAGATTATCTTAAAAAAAAAAACAATACCAAAAAACTCTCATATCTTACTAAACAGCGATGTGAATACAGCTCCGACGCACGAGGACAGCATCTGTTGACTTGGCTTTAATTCAGACATTTTGACTTCCTATCTCCCCAAAAAGCAATACTTGAGGTCACTGAGTTCCTTTCATCTCACTCACAAAGAGGCTTCGCACCGACAGCTTCCTTCTCATCACCATGATAACGAGTTATATAATGTTTACATGTTCAAGGCTGAGGGTATTTGTGCAAGCGCCGAGTGGGCTACGGCGGTAAATGTTTTGTTTTGTATGCATTCTTCTTGTATTATTAGATGCCCAATAAAAACATATAGTAAGTTTAATTTACTCAGTTATATACATCAGATCTATTTCTCAGTCTACATATAGTAGATGCTGATTAATAAGAAGGAAGTCTACGAGCTTAAAATTGTATGACCAAGAATATAACTTTTATAACATGTTTTAACAATGTCTCCCCTTTTTAGAGACAAAAAAGAGAAAGGGAGCAGTGCCTACCTTAAATGTTAAAATGCAGTGCAACTCATTGTGACTATTTCTGTACTGTCGCTAACGCCTTTTGATAAGAAGCGAGAAGAGGCTCTGCAGTAGGATTACTTGCATATATATATATATATATATATATATATATATATATATATATATATATATATATATATATATATATATATATCGAATGGTCGATAACAATCAAACTACTGTATCTGTTAATGATGCATCCTTCAGAAGTTGCCATGCAAATAGCTGCAATAGCATATCTAAGAATAATGATACTTGAATCATTATATATTTTTTTCTGGAATGTTATATTATGTTATGATGTTTTACACAGTTACAGTTACATTTATGGAATATGTATATATATATATATATATATATATTATATATATATATATATATATATATATTATATATATAGAGAGAGAGAGAGAGAGAGAGAGAGAGAGAGAGAGAGAGAGAGAGAGAGAGAGAGAGAGAGAGAGAAGAGATGCTCTCGATGTCAGTATCAACTACTGAGGTGCAAGGATTCCGATGATTATATTCACTGAAGCTATTTCGGGACCTGTGTTTATATCCTAATCATGAGCGGGAAGGATACGGATATAAAAAGTGGAAGGGACAAGCAAGTATATACCAATATGATGACTTTTAAGATATTACTTTATAAAATCTATTATTATTTTTTATTTATTTATTTATTTATTTTTGCTCTTCTCCCTCTCTCTCTCTCTCTTTCCCTTGCTCTTTCTCTCTCCCTCCCTCCCCCTTCCCCTCTTTCTTTCTCTCTCTCTCGTTTTTAACGGCCGGTATATTTCCATGTTACTGCAGTATCCTTCTTCCCTCATTCGTTTTCCTGCTGTAGTCGATTTTCAAGATCAAATTCAAAACAGTAAATAAATAAAAACATTAATAATTTTATGCTGAAAACTTATACCGGATATTATGGCCTGTCTGGTCAATTTATTTATTCTTTTATTGAATATATATTTCTTCAATGAGGACCTCGTGCTATTTTCATTTTACTTAACCCTACACTAAAAAAAAAAAAAATAGAAGTAACGTTATGTTGAATTTATATCGTAATTTGAGTGTTTATTACGCTCTACTTAATGCATATTGATCACAAATTATAAAACAGATATACGAAACTTATCTAGAGGCATTCTTTGTTTATCAATATTAGTTTAATTCAATAAAAGTTAATGGTGCAAGTGACGTTTAACTTTTTTTCAGCATATGTGCTTTTATTATGAAATATCTTGTCATGATTATTCAGTATGCAAATCAGGTTTGTCTTGGTCTTGGTCTTCATGCGAGAGACCTATTGAAAAGACTGAAGTTTATGAATCTGTTGACATGCGATGGTGAATGCAACCAATTTCATGTTGATTTTTTATATGAAAATGTGCTATAGTCAAGTCAATTAGTAGATGAAGTGACTTTACCTAATACCTTTATTTCGTGCTTAAGATTTTAATCGATTCATCTCTCCCTCTCCCTCCCCCCTTCTCTCTCTCCCTGCCTCCTCTCCCCTCCCTTCCCTCCCCCCCCCTCTCTCTCTCTCCCTCCCTCCCCTTTTATCTCTCTCCCTCCCTCCCTCTCTCTACCTCACCAGTAATAATGACAGCGTCTGGAATAGCATCAAAACCTTACTGATTCGCCATTCCCGCCTGGTACATCTCGGGTGGTATTCATGTCGTGTAAACTGTAGAGTGACTGCGCATACATTTCGTTGCTTCATGTCACACGAACTGCGGTGGAGAGAATTCTGACACTGACTAACTCATTTCTGTTCTCCTTACACGATGTAAATCCAAAATGTTTCACAGACAGTCCCGCTTCGTACCATTCTAAACATGGAAGTTTTTAATTTCTTGTGACTTTTTGCTGCAATTTACAAGTATCGTTTGTATAATTGATCCTTTTCGGTCGTTTGTGCTTCGTTGTATAAGGTTCGTAGTTTCATGAAGGAGTCAGTTTGTTTTGTATTTCCTATTTGTATTCATTTGTTTGATTACTGTTTATTTGTTTCTTAGTTTGCGCGCGCTTGTGTGTGTGTGTGTGTGTGTGTGTGTGTGTGTGTGTGTGTGTGTGTGTGTGTGTGTGTGTGTGTGTGTGTGTGGTGTGTGTGTGTGTGTGTGTGTGTGTGATGGACTATTAGTACTCGGTATTTCCAGAAAGTTATGTGTGTTTAGGTTTGTATATGTAGAGACAGACAAAGGAGTATAATGGAGAAATATGTGGAGAAAAAAAATCTTTACTACACTTTTCAGTTGTACGAGTGACGTAGTGCTGCCTGAACGAACACTTTGTGGTTTTATTCACATTCTAGCAAACCATTTTTTAACGACTCTCCACATAATTAAAACCGGAGAAATAACCTCTCAGATCATAGCATTTAATATTCTCGCTTCAACCAAAAGCCATTAATTACATCAAGACCAAAAAAAATACAGACTTCATTCTTCTACAAATAAACTGCTTTGCCATTTTCCCTCAAAACACCTATTGGGCTGTCCCATTGTCCCCTCCTTAGCCGATGTTGTTATGGGAGACCACCAGAGAGCCCTTGTAAATCTCGTTATCGTAAGTCCAGTCCTTGAAGTCCTGGACTTGCAGACTCTCGCCCAGTGCCAGCTCGTAGGTCTTGGGAGGGGAGTAGCAGCCTGCCTCGTCGCCCAGCTGGTACTGCGTCCGCCGGTAGATGCTCAGAGCCAGCTGGTGCATGTCCATCGGCACCTGCGGGGGGGAGGGGGGGGGGGTCCACGTTAGGTCGGCTGTGGTGCGAATAAGCCTGCTAGTCTTCTGGTCTTATTAAGGATTCGTGAGCTAAATAGCCTTAAAACAGAGGGTACAGTCCCTGAATAATTCATTTGGATTACATATATCATTAAACGCTACGCTTGATCTGGCCTAACTTTCTCTAGTCTAAGCTAGTCTAACCTAAACGAAATTAATCCAGCTTTACCTAATCTAAACTAACCTAATTCAACTTTAGCTTGAAATAGCTTAACCTAAGGCAATCTAACCCTGAAAGCGCTAGTCTAGAAATACTAGCTACCGAGCCTACATATACAAGCAGCTAATCTACAGTTATCGACAACAAAACAAGATAAAACTGCATGAACAGATAACGGAACCAAAACAGAATTAGGGAAAAACCACAACCAAATACCACAACCTCAACAAAAACCACCGAACCAGAAAAAAAAAAAACAATTTAGAAGCTTCCTCATCCGAATCCTTCACCTCGAACTTCCTCGCCATGTCGTATCCGAGCTGGAGGTCCTTGTTCTGCAGCGCCATCGTGAAGCCCGGGTCATACTGGCCGTTGAAGATGAGCGGGGCGCCCGTCTCCCACACGAAGCTGTTGCCGGCGCTCACCCGAATGGCGTCCCAGAAGGTCTTCAGGTTGAGGCCGGACCGTTTGGCTGTGTGGGGGGGGGGGGAGGCTTATTATTATTATTGTCTTATTAAGTCTTATTATTAAGGAAAAGTATATAAACTAACGACAGGAAAGACAGTTTTGTCAACGAGACAATCGGCCGGTTTGTTAGAATTGCGCGAGGCCCGACCCAAAGAATATTCGTACACGTGACATGCATAAATGGAGGAATAAATGCATATTTATCCGTCTCTAGACATGCTATCAACCCGGCAAATAGATGGTTAGAGGTATATCTATCAGATATATAGACAGATATTTTGTTTCTGCGTATATGGATGTCTGTATTTAAGAAAATTCATTGGGTCGGGCCTCACGCAATTTTAACAAACCGGCCGAATCTCACGCTGCTGACAAGACTGTCTTTCCTGTCGTTTAGTTATATACTTTCCTGTCGTTAGTTTTTTGTCGTTAGTTTAATTTTCCTGTGGTTAGTTTATATACTCTCCCTGTCGTTAGTTTAAGTATCTTTCTGTCGTTAGTGTATATACACGTTAGTTCATATACTTTCCCCGTGTCGTTAGTTTATATACTTTCCTGTCGTTAGTTTAATACTTTCCCTGTCGTAGTTTAAATACTTTCCCTGTCGTTAGTTCATATACTTTTCCCTGTCGTTAGGTTAGTTATATACTTTCCCTGTCGTTAGTTTATACTTTCCCTGTCCCAGTTCATATACTTTTCCTGTCGTTAGTTTATATACTTTTCCTGTCGTTAGTTTATATA